TGGGGGGATGCATCCCCCCATCCCCCCCGCTATCTACGCCCCTGTCTAATAGTAATAATTAATGAACACAGTCATAGCAATCTACTACATATATATAAAGCCAATATACATACAGCGGTGTACCACGTATAAGGAATAATCTTCAAAGTCCAAATATGTACTATATCAAACACATAGAGATTCAAAATTAGTCAAAATCTATAGATGACATAGATCAACACAGCGGATTACAGTAGGAAAGATTGCAGTAGAAAGGATTGCAGTAGGCTCTGACAGGTAATTAAGTAATCAGGGAAGAAGGAAGACAATTCTGATATGGAATGGCAGTAGAGAAAGATCCTCATGTTTATATTCATAATTTCTTTTTTTAATTCATTATTAAATTGATATAAGGGCAGACAGAGAGAGGAGGCAGAGAGAGGAAGAGAGAGGGGGCAGAGATCAAGAGAGAGAGAGAGGAGGGGAGAGAGAGGGGCAGAGAGAGAGGAAGAGAGAGGGCAGAGAGAGAGGAAGAGAGNGCGCCACCTGGAGGAGCTGTTCGAGAAGGAACCCGACGCGCAGCACATAGATGATGAGAAGGAGGAGACGGAGGAGGAGAAGGTAAACGAGGAGGAGGAGGAGGAAGAGGAGAAGATGGAGGAGATGGAGAAAGATAAGGAGGAGACGGTACACGCGGTGGAGGAGGAGGAGGAGGAGGAGGAGAAGGTAAACGAGGTGGAGGAAGAGGAGGAAGAGGAAAAGATGGAGGAGATGGAGAAAGAGAAGGAGGAGAAGGTAAACGAGGTGGAGGAGGAGGAGGAGGAGGAGGAGGAGGAGAAGGTAAACGAGGTGGAGGAGGAGAAGGAGGAGGAGGAGGAGGAGAAGGTCAACGAGGAGGAGAAGGAGGAGAAGATAGAGGAGATGGAGAAAGAGAAGGAGGAGGTGATAAGGAGGATGACGAGATGGTGAGCTAGGAGGAGAAGGTGAGCTAGGAGATGGAGGTGGAGGAGGTGAGTGAGGAGAAAGAGGATGTGAAGGTGGAGGAGTGGCAGACGATGGAAGAAGGTGAGCTTTAGGGAGGAGCAGGTGAACGAGGTGAAGGAAGGGGAGACGTAGGAGGAGGAGAAGCATGAGCACACTAATAGTGACGAGTGGAAGGATGCAGAGGAGGAGGTGAGCGATCGTACCAGGAAGATGCTGCCAATGTTAATAACGAGAGAGCGAGAGAGAGAGAGAGAGAGAGAGAGAGAGGCAGATACAAAGAAGACTTCCTCACTCTCCGACGACCTTCCTCTCTCTCAGCAGGCGGGTGCGGCGGCGGCGGCCGACGACAAGACCCAGAAGCAGAAGAGAAAGCCCAAGGCGTGGGAGAAGCAGAAGAAGAAGAAGGCAGGAGGAAAAAAGAAGAAGCCGAAGAAGAAGACGACCGTCGTTAAGCGAAACATCATCATGGTCGGCGCGCAGGAGGCGCCCATCGGGCCGCTGGTACATCCCCCCCCCCTCCCGCCAGGTGGCGCCGCGAGTCCCTCGCCACCGACGCAGGCTTTTTCTTTTTCACGCATATGCGCGAGTTGCGAGATTTCGAATCGCTCTGTGCTTTCGTAGTCCATGATGTCATCGCTCTGTGCTCTCGGAATCCGTGATGTCATTGCTCTGTGCTCTCGCAATCCGTGATGTCATCGCACTGTGCTCTCGCAGTCCGTGAAGTCATTGCTCAGTGCTCTCGCAATCCGTGATGTCATCGCTCTGTGCTCTTGCAATCCGTGATGTCATCGCTCTGTGCTCTCACAATCCATGATGTCATCGCTCTGTGCTCTCGCAATCCGTGATGTCATCGCTCTGTGCTCTCGCAATCCGTGATGTCATCGCTCTGTGCTCTCGCAATCCGTGATGGCGGAATCGGACAGGGCGAAGATCAAGACGGGTCACGAGAAGTCAAAGAACAAGGAGAGCAACGGAGATATTGCGGATTCCGAGCCAGAATCCGACTCCGGATCCGATTCCGTTTCTACCAAGTACGATAACCCATTTTTCCGATTTACACATTGGATTCCGATCCCGTATCGAATTCCTTTTCCACCGAGCGCGTTAAACGCTTGCCGATTCCAACCCGAATTTGAATTACATAAATTCTGAACATCGCCTCGGTCGCCACGGTAACCGAACATCCTCTCGCGTTTCCAGGGAGACGCATCACGACAAGGACGGCAGCGAGGGGGAGGCTGAGGACGACGACTGGAACAGCTTCAACCTGAAGAAGCGCAAGGAGACGTTGGAGACGAAGTCGCGATGCTCACACAGCGTGCACTGTCCGCACTTCCCTGAGGTGAGGATCTCCTTCCCTTTCTCTTAGTATAAAGCGCCGCTCCCCATACTAACCCCCTCCCCCCTCTCTCTCTCCCCTTGGGTATAATAATATCCTTTCTTCCTCCTTCCCGCAGGACAAGCAGGAGTGGTGGTGGCTGTACGTGGCGAACCGGCGGCACCGACCCCTACCCGCCCGCCCCCATATTAACCACCTCCCCCTCTCTCTCCCTCTAATTTTAAATACCATACTAATTATACTCTTATGAATATCCTTTCTTCCTCCTTCCCGCAGGACAAGCAGGAGTGGTGGCTCGGCTGGCTGTACCGTGGCCGAACACCGCCCCCCCCCCAATAACCCTATAGTCTTCCCGATCTCCGTCCCTCGAATAACTCTCTCGATGCTGCAGGACAAGCACGATGTGGTCGGTGGCCTCGTACCGTGGCCAGACCACTTGCCATCGTCCAGCTACCTTGTTTTAGCGTCACTAGAAAGCACCACACATTCTTGTCCCCATATTAATACCCTTATATTTCTCCTTCGCGCCCCTGTACTAACTCTCTCTCTCTCTGCCTGCAGGATCCAGCAGAGTGGTGGTGGCGTGTACGTGGCAGACCACCTGCATCGCCCCCTACCTTGTGCACGTACCTTTTATATGTAATTGAGTGTCTGGAACTTAGTTCCTGTCCCATCATTAAATACCTTTATTCCTCTTTCCTCCGCCTCTCCTCATAACTCTGCTCTCTCTCTGCTGCAGGATAGCAGTAAGCCGGTGGTGGTGGCTGTCGCTGGCGGACCGGCGGCACCCTGTGTTGTCTGTGTTGTATCTGTGCCTTGGGGGTGCTCTCCCCATATTAACCCCTCGCCCGTCTCTCTCCTCTACAGGACGAAGCTCTAACCCTCTCCCCCTCTCTCTCCTCTGGCCAGGACAAGCTATTAACCCTCTCCCCTTCTCTCCTCTGCAGACAAGCCTAACTAACATCTGCCCCTCTCTCTCCTCTTTGCAGGACAACGGCTATCATAACCCTCTCCTGCCTCTCTCGCCCTCTGCAGGACAAGCTGACTAACTTCTCCCCTCTCTCTCCCTCTGCAGGACAACGCTACTAACCCTCCCCCTCTCTTTCCCTCTGCAGGACAGCTACTAACCTTTTCCCCTCTGCAGGACAGCTACTATCCAGTCTCCCCCCTCTCTCTGCCCTCTGCAGAGCAAGGCTACTAACGCCTTCTTCCCCCTCTCTCTCCCTCTGCAGGACAGCTACTAACCTTCTCCCTCTCTTCTCTCCCTCGGCAGGACAATTTTACTCACAGCCCTCTCCCCCTCTAATCTCCCTCTGCAGGACACAGCTCGTACCCCTCATCCTCTCTCTTCTCATCCCTGCTGCCAGGACAAGCCCTCTTACTAATCCCTTTCCCCCTTGCCCAGACAAGCCTACCTTAACCCCTCCCCCTACATGCAGGACAAGCCTACTAACCTATCCCTCTGTCTCCGTCTTGCAGGACAAGCTATTAACCCTCCTTCCCCCTCTCTCTCTCCGTCTGAGAGACAAGCTGCACTCATACCCTCTCCCTCCTCTCTCCTCTCCCGGGGCAGGCACAATTACTACTACCCTCTCCCCCTCTCTCTCCCTCGTGCAGGAACAACGCTACTAGCCCTCTCCCCTCTCTCTCCCTACGGCAGGAACATAGCTGACGTTACCTCTTCCCCCTCTCTCTCTCCTCCGGCCAGGACAATGCTAGCTAACCCTCTTCCCCCTCTCTCTCCCTCTGCAGGACAAGCTAGCTAACCCTCTCCCCCTTGGCTGAGGACAAGCTATTAACCGTATCCCCTCCTGGTCTCCCTCTGCGGACAAGCTACGTAAGACCCTCTCGCTGCTGCTAGTACAAGCTACTAATCCTCTCCCCCTCCTCTCTTCCCTTCTGCAGGACAAGCTACTAACCCTCTCTCCCTCTGCCTAGGACAACGGCTACTAACCCTCTCCGTGCTCTCTCTCCCCTCGGCAGGACCAACTCTACTAACCCTCTCCCCCTCTCTCTCCCTCGGGCAGGACATCTACTAACCTCTCCCCTTCTCTCGCCCTCTGCAGACAAGCTTACTACCTCTCCCTTCTCTCTCTCCTCCTCCCTCGCGGCAAAGACAAGCTACTAACCCTCCTCCTCCCTCTCTCTCTCTGCCAGGACAAGGCTACTAACCCGCTCCCCTCTGCAGACAGCTCTAACCCTATCCCCTCGTGTCCCGTCTGCAGGACAAGTGACTAACCCTCCTCCTCCTCTCCTCCCTTCTGCTCAGGACAAGTTACTAAACCTCTTCGCCGCTGTAGTACGAAGGCTGACTAACCACTCTCCCCCTCCCTCTCTCTCTATGCAGGACAAACGCTATTTACCCTCTCCCCTTCTCTCCCTCTGTCCAGGACAAGCCTACTAACCTTTCTCCCCCTCTCTCTCCTTCTACAGACAAGCTACTAACCCTCTCCCCTCTCTCTCCCTCCTGCAGGACAAGCTACGTAACCCTCTCCCCCTCTCTCTTCCTCTGCAGGACAAGCTACTAAACCCGGTCTCGCCCTTTCTCGTCCCTTTGTAGGACAAGCTACTAACCTCTCTCCCCTCTCTGCAGGACAAGCTACTAACTCTCGGCCCCTCTCTTGCAGGACAACTTACTAAACCCTCTTCCCCCTCTTGCAGGACAAGGCCTACTAACGCTATTCCCCCTCTGTCTCCGTCTGCCAGGACAAAGCTACTAATCCTCCTGGCTTCCCCTTTCTCCCTCTGGCATGCGCAAGTTACTAAAGCCATCTTCCTTCTGTCAGTTTACAAGCTAACTAACCTCTGCCCCTCTCTCTGCTCCCTCTGCAGCGACATAGTAATAACCCTCTCCCCCTCCTCTCTCTCCCTCTGCAGGACAAAGTTACTAACCCTCTCGCCTCTCTCTCTCTCTCCCTCGGCCAGGACAATCTACTAACCCTCTCCCCTCTCTCTCCCTCTGGCAGGACAAGCTACTAACCCTCTCCCCCTCTCTCTCCCTCGCCAGGACAAGCTACTAACCCTCTCCCCTCTCTCTCTTCCCTCTACAGGAACAATCTACAACCCTCTCCCCTCTCTCTCACTCCTGCAGGGACAAGCCTAGCTGAACCCTCTCCCTCTCTCTCTCTCTCCCTCGGCTCAGGACAAGCTGAACTAACCACTCTCCCCTCTCTCTCCCTCATAGCAGGACAAGCCGCCTACTAACCCGCTCCCCCTCTGCAGGACAAGCTTACTAACCCTCATCCCCCTCTGCAGGACAACCGCCTACCTAAGCCCTGCTCCCTCTCTGCAGGACAAGTACTAACCCTATCCCCCTCCTCGTCTCCGTCTGCAGGCACAAGCCGGTACTATATGCCCTCTCCCCTCTCTCCCTCTTGCAGCGACAATGCTACTAACCCTTTCTCTTCCGNGAGTATAGCTTACAACCCGTCCCGTGTACTCATCGATCTCTTCTGTAAATTTGGCGCTATTTGGATCGAAACTGACGGAGCCTTTCATTAACATACATACATACAACATTCGCCAAATTATAGTAAGATACACTGTGTAGCCACCTCATCAGACAATCGCACAAACAGACAAAGACCCGCGCACACGCGCGGTCGCACGTGCGCGTACTCTTGCGACCAGAACCCGAATTCCTCCCCTCAATCACAAACCACTCTCTCTCTCTTGTTCAAATTATTACGCGGAAATGTACATATGGTCGGCATCTGTATAAGTGTCAACCTAACGTCCGCAACATATCCGCGCAGTACCCAACCTAACTATTTCTCATCTGTATGCCAAACGCCCAACTCTTCTCTATGTACAACCAAAAATATCTACGCTTACTAATTCAATGTGACATCTGTACAACATATGTAAAAGAGACGTTACAGCGTAAATTGACATTTTGTGCCTCGAGGAGTGAAAATGTTTCGACTGAAATACGGTAATTTTGGTGCAAAAGTTTGTCCATGCTTGACTGGTTGTGGGCGATACCATTTGAAAGAGGGGGCAAATTGGGGTCCGTCTAATTACCGAAAAGCACCGGAAAGCACCGAAAGGCACCGGAAAGCACCTAAAAAACACCGAAAAGCGCTATGAGAACATCGAATTCCACCGGAAGGCGAAAGGCACCGAAAGGCATACCGAGCGGCACACCAAACGGCACTGAAAGCTAGCTAGCTGGCCTAGGCACCAAAAGGCACCTAAAGGCACCGGAAGGCACCGGAAGGCACCTAAAAAACACTGAAAGGCGCTATGAGAACATTGAATATCACCGGAAGGCACCGAAAAAAGCAGTCCGGAGCTGAAATGTCAAAAAAAATTCCACCGAAATGCCCTAAAAATGACTGAACTTTCCCCGAAATGAACCCGGGGGTCACTATATATGCCGGTATTACCCCATTTGCGTTCCAAATTTTGCGGTTCAGGGGGGTGTTTTTCAACTTCTAAAGCATGCCCGCGCGGGAGCAAATAGGCCCCCTTTACAAAGCTAATCCTGCAATAAGCTTTCGGAATCATTCAATTCAAGCACCGCGCCCACAGTAGGCCACCCTCACGGGCCCCCTCATGACGAACCACATAGTAGTCACCGGCTTAGTAATAATTCACTTCACTCAAGACTACTTCACGAGCCTAAAACCATATCCCTAACCCTAACCATAACCATAACCCTGAACCCTAGCCCTAACACTAACTAAAAACCGACTCGGCTATCTTATATACGCGTCTAAACCATACCAAATTAATCTATGGTGTGGGAAAGCGACGGGATATTTTCATTGTGTATGCAATAGGGGGTGGTATTCTTTAATTGTGTCTGCAATAAGGGGTAGGGTTTTTTCAATGCGCACTAGGGGGCCTATATATATATAATTTTTAGTGAGAACGCACATGGGGTATAACCGGCATATATAGTAACCTCTCCCCCCCGCGGAAAGGAGGTACACAAATAATTAATTCGCAGCCAATGTTTACATGCCACAGTGCCATTTCTTGGATGTTTTATAAGTAAATGTAGGGGGGTTTCAATCAAATAATGCGTTTTTAATGTATTTACCACGATTTACGTATAGAAAGTTAGAAACTATATGTTAAATTAACTGATTTCTCCGTATCTTTTCTTGAATTTTTTATTGTCTATCAATGCCTTTCGGTAAATTTTTTTGCGTTTTGGTGCCTTTTGGTAATTTAGCCATATGCTGTCTAAACACTAAAAGGCCCAAAAGGCAGGGGTAAACATGCTGAAATGCCTCTTAATAC